GTAAAAATTTTAAAAAAAATCGAACGCGTTCACGTTCACGTTCAAATTCAAAAAAAGGAACGCGTTCAAGTTCATGAACGCGTTCATGCGTTCAAAATTTTATGATTTTTTTAAAATTTAATTTAATATAAATAAATGCCTTATATTTTTCAACACAATATATTAGCCATGATAAAAAATAATAGTTTTATTTTGATAATATTTTATAAATACAATATAATAGAGCGATAAAAAAATAAATTTATAAAAAAATTTTCTTATTAATTTTTAATAATAATTGCTTTTCAAAATTTTCATCTGATAGGCATGAACGCTTGGCAGTTAATACAGCGTTAGCTATACTAAAAACTCGCTCAACAGGGGCAGATGAAGGGATTGCGGTGTTATACTTGATAAACAATTCTTTTAAAAGGGGGAATTTAATAAAAACATTTAATGTTTTATCCATTGTTTCAAAAAATTGAGCTAAGTTATCATCCTCCAATCTGCCCTCTTCTTCCTCGTCAAAAAAAAGGATATCTCGGAATTGATTTTAAAACAGTGAAATATTTTTGATATTTGGGCCATGGTAATTCTAATTCATCTAATATTGAATTTTGATTTTCAGAATCTGATGATAAAATATTTATATCCATGCAAATGCTAATCTATTAAATTAAAATATAAAATATTCAAATTAATAAACTTTAATCTTATCTTCTCTAGCAGTAGCACGTTATGGTACGTTAATTGCAATATGAAAGAGGAAAAAGTAAAAACAGCTGATTAAAAAATAAAAGACTTTTTTGTTAAAAAATTGGATTAAATATTAATTTTTCAAATAAATAAAAATATAAGACTTTTTTGTTAAAAAATGCGGATTAATATTAATTTTTCAAATAAATGAAAATAAAAAGTGTTTTTAAAATTGAACGAACGTAAAATTGAACGCGTTCATCAAAGAAAAGGAACGCGTTCACGTTCAAAGTTCGTCAAAAAAAAAGGAACGCCGTTCATCACCTTTTTTCAAAAAAAACGAACTTCGTACAACACTAAATATAAGTAATTATTGTACGGTATTTAAAAAAAATATAATTTAACAATTATAATTAATACAAATGAATCAAAATATAAATAATTCATATTGCAAATGCAATAGTTTTATTAAAAATAGGCAGAGAATCTAAATTGCAATTACACATGGAAAGGGCCTGCAAAGCATTTTTTGGCCTCAAAGATTATTCTATTTTATCAAGATTTTTATACCAAAATACGACATCACAGTAACTTATCATGCATTCTTGATAAATCATCAGAATAAATTGAGATTTTCTTAATATCCTCTCGCGTTTCAAGTGTAATCAACAATTCAGACTCAACTGGCAGAAGAAAATAAAAGCTTTTTAAAATAAAATTGTGACTAATAAATCTTTCATTTAATTGAAATAAAATGTACCAATAAGGGGAATAAAACATTTATTTTATAAAAATCCTCAATCGTAGGTATATCAATATTTAAGCGATTGGACTGTCTAAAAACTACTCTAGGTTTAAAAATTTCAATCCCAAACATATTAGCGATCTCCTTTACTTTCTCGTATATTTCATGAAATTTTCATCCACATTATCTATGATATTTGTTAATATTTCAACATTATTCTTTGCCCTATTCATAACCTCCCTTAAATACAAATCAATTTTTTGTAGCATTTTGCTAAAATCATATGTATAATTTAATAAAAAATATACACATGGAATTGATATTAAAAATGTGGCTTCGTAATAGCCTGCAAAAGATTTTCAGCATTGCGGAATCTTTTACTTTGCTTGATATGTAGGATTCGAGCGCTGCGAAAATAACTTCATATAATTCGATTCAAAGTCTCACTGATTGTTGAGTTGGGCAAAATCTTTTTAGTTTTTTTTTGATTATTTGAATCAATATCATAAACGTTCGGTTAAAAGGCTGCCTCGGAAATGTTGTGAAAAGTCACAAACCGACGATATTGTTTCTATATTTAAAAATATATTAGAATTATAAAAATATATCTATAATACATAATAAATTCCAATTAAATTAAACGTAAACTGTTCCGGATGTCTCGAATTTCGCATGCCTCATATATCATCAAATTTAGGCAATATGAACTACAGTGAACATATAGAGCTGTGCTATAAAGCTCTCTAATTCTTGACTGTACCCCTTTAACATGACCAATCATGGAACTCTATCATATCCTTCATTAGATTTAAATTTAAATCTAGGTCTTAAATGGATGCTAAAATTTTTGGCTAACGTCTTTGATTTAGTGTCATGTGAGTCAATAAATTGAACAAAGTGTTCCTTCATTTTGAAATCACCTGATTCCATATCAATAAACCTTACTGCTATGGATAATTGCTCTATGTTACCAACATAGAAGTCTCATCTGCCAAAATACTAAAAAATGGTGATGCTTTCACTTTTGAAGAAATTTCTTTCAATATGAACCTATTTGAATATGGTTATTATTTTATTTTGAATACTTAGACTAAGGTATGGTAGGTGGCATTTTTAGTAGAGCTTTCAAAAAGCTTTATATAGTTATCATTATTATTACATAAAAGTTTCAACAATTCCTTGAATTCCCTACATTATGAGAAATTTATTTATGAATTAAAACCGTTTTTTAAATAAAATTATTCGCAATAAGAAAAAAATTTCAAAAAAGATTTTCTTAAAAATTTTGAAAAAAAAATTTCAAAAAATTTTTTTTTCCGGAGGAAACCCCTCCTTTGTCTACGCCACTGACCATACAAAAGTATTATATAATAAGATATAAGATCTTTTTATAAAAAATTTTTTAATATATATAATTATAATATAAATAAAATTATACAAAAATAAATATTATATAAAAGATAACAACTTTTTGTAACAATTTTTTACTTATTTTTAGTAAAAATTGATTTTCAAAATTTTGATCAGACAAACAAGAGAGCTTAGTGCCCAATACAGCTTTCGCCAAGCTAAACACACGTTCAATAAGCGCAGAGTGGGAGAGTTGTATTATATTTAATAAATTAAAATTTTAATTCGGGGAATTTATAAAAAATTTTTTTTAAGAATTATCTTTATTTTGAAGAAAGCTTAACAATAGATCATCTTCACAAGGATCTTTATTCATTTCCTCATCAAAAAAATATTTATCTTTATCAGATAATATTCTGGTATGTGTGTTGAATAAAGGAATTAAGTCTGCTCTTTCTTTATCAAGATCTTTTCTCAAAGAAGATAAGTTATAGCATTCTTCCTTTGTTGACCTCAAATTTTATCCAGAGCTGATCCAATTGCGAATTATTGTGGATAGTATATATTCATATTTATTTTGAAATTATTGAAAATAATAGACAATCAAAATATAAATTGTAAGCAATATTTGAACTGTATACATTTTATCTATGCCTTCCATGATTGAATTAATAAGCGGCTTACAAAACTTGAAATTATTTAAAGCAATTTTTTTAAGTTTTAATATTATAATAGTTATCGGGGGAGTGAGATATTTCAAATGTTCTAAAGCCATAGCAACACAGGCTCCATAACATATAAAATCATATATAATAGCATATTTTTTAATTAACACGAAAATCTCCGCAATTCGGATTTATCACAAGATTCGTCAAATTGGTTATTCTTCTTAATAAGACTATTATTTTTATGGAATTATAAAGAGTTTCTTCTTGTTATAACCGGTTTAATCATATATCCCATTTTTTCCTTAAAAATGGATTCACAGTTTCGAGACTGTCCATGTTTCCACAATTGAGAAAATATTTGAGTTGGGACACAATTTTACAATGTGTACTTTGTTTAATTCAAAATTAAAATCAAATGAAAATATCTAAATTTATTTAATCAATTGTTAAATGGTAGAGTTCATTCGAATCCAATTCAGAGTCAGTAGCAAAAAAAAGACTCGAAATGGATGCTTCAAAATCTGGGAAATGTTGGCTTCACTAATTTGCCATTTTTCACATGCCGTTATAGCCCCTGGTTGTAATCCGACACTACTTTGTTAAACCCTAATTGCTTCTAATTTTTCGTTCCATCTTATATTTTAATGCTTATTATAAATTTTATTATTTGCCAAGGGGAGGAAAAAGAATATATAAAATAAAATTCTTTAAGTGCCAGCTTTATAATATTTTTATTATTAGGTGAGGAAAAAGAGTAAGTAGCAAATATATAAAATAAAATTCTCTAATTTACTTAAGCTTAAAAAAAATCATGAAAAACTTACAAAATGTGTTTTGTTATACATTATATATTGGATCGTCATTTATTTTATGTATTGTGCAAAAAATATAAACATACACTGTCTTATTTTCTGTTATAAATATAATATCTAATCCTGTATCAAATAAGATATATATATTAAAAAATATAAACTACAACATGAAGGATTCACCAAAATTTGAAAAGATAAATGGGCTTTACCATTTCTTTCAATAGAGTAAAATTTTTTTAGATCACCATAAAACCGCGATTTAACTTTCCTTAAGGAAACCGATTATTCAAAAAATTAAATATGGGAATTATGGAATAGGTTAACTAAGGCCAATTCCTTAATTAAAAATAAAATTTATAGAGCAAACTAAACTTCAAAAAATAATTAGATTGACGTTTTTAAACACTTCCATAAAATAAATGAAATCTATTCGATTTTAACAAAAATTTTTTCATATTTCAATGTCATAAATCTTTTAAATGCTTCCTATTTAAATTTGTAAAATAATTTTGTAAAAAAACCATTATAAACTTTACTTTTATACTATGCATAAAAAACTCTAATTACAAAATAGTTATAATTTAAATTAAGCCAGACAAGTTTTCGATTAAATTTAACCTACGCACTGTCTAAATATAAAATGATACTATAATAAAAGGTCAATGTGACGAAGATGACAGAAAAATAATTACTATTATAAGGTAAAAAGGTCTTATTTAAAACACAAATTTCATAATTTATAATATAGTCTTATAAAATATATGATTATTTATTATTTATTGTATATATAAGCATTACAATACATAAATAACATGCATAGAATAATAAAACTAGTTATGCGATGATTATAATTTATACATTTTAATTATTAATTTGGCATGATAAATATTCAGGAAAGTATAAAAAAAAGTATAAATAAATATATTATCACATTCTTTTTTTTTAAAAACTATATTGATAAATATAAAAATTAATTTTAACAAATATATGACGTATTGGAAGGAAGCCATGTGGATTCTGAATCTCAATTTTATATTTTACGCTGAGGGCAATTTTTAAATTTGAAAGTTGATTTGACTGGATTTATTCAGTCATGTATAATGTATCCACTTAATTGATATTAGTTTCCTTAAAAAAATTTTTCATAAAAATACTAGATAATAATAATATGTAGATTTTTTAAATTGGTTTATATATCAGTATGCGATTGTTTTGGGAATATGATATCATTAGGTTAAACTTTATGCAAGTGTGAAAACTGGAAAAGATATTCGACAAATATAATAATAATATATCTATTATTAAAATTTAATATGTATTAAATCTAAATAAATTCGAAGATGGGATGTAATATATTTTGCAACAGTTAATAGGAGCTATTCAATAATACCCCTTATTTCAGAAAATACAAATAGAAAGTTAGTAAAATGAAAAAAAAGTGTCAATTAGAATAAATTTATATAATGTATTGTATTTTTTTTAAAGTATGTGGAATAAAAAACTAATATCGATTTTCAGGATTTTTGACCTGAGCGAACCCAACCTTCTTTTCTCCGGCATCGAACTCGGTATACCATTTTCCTATAAAAATATCTCCCAAAATCCATAAAGGTCCTGCAGGGGCAGGTACATCTAGCCCCAAAAAGCCTAAAATGCATATGCGAGTTCCCATAGAACTTTCCTAATATATTAATAATTTTAAAAAATTAATAAATATTTCTCCTCATTCTCTTTTTTTAAGACCGGAAATACAACTTTAATTATTTATATCGTTGTTGACTTAAATATATGTAAATGGTTTTAACGAGTATCTCCTGATATATCTTCCTCACTTTTTTTCTCTCTATTTTCTTTGTTAAAAATTTTCTTCCTTTTTAGCCTATTGTTTGATTCCATTTTCTCGTTCTTTTTAAAATAGTTACATGAAAATATGTAAACTTTAAGGATGTAATCTTCCGAAGTTAAGGTAAAGTTCTTTCCGGATATCGTGTACGCTATATCCGGCATATCCTTAATTGTGTTGCAATCCACGATGTACTTCATAAAATGTATAAATAAATAAGAAGAAAAGGTTACACTTAAGAATTATAGAACTAAGTATAAGTTTATTATATCCGTTGACATAAAATAATAATTTTAATTGTCCATTGTATTATCATAAGGTGAGTCGGCAAATCGTTAAAAATTTTACAAACATTAAAAAAATCAGCCAAACCTCTCCTACAAACTTTTTGGCGCCAACCAAATCCGCGATTTCTTTGATAACTTCCGAAGGAGCTGTCATGAGAGATGTTCCCGTATCCACTATGCCCTGACAACCATTGCAAAAAGTCTTTGAGACACCGTTTATGTATACCCTTTTTTTAAAAAAAAGAGTTTTATTTTTGTTATAAATCCACCACCCCCCTTCCCTTTCTAAAACTTCTTAAAATTAATTCTTTTGCAATATTTTTTAGGGCTTTACGAATCTAAACTGTTTGAAAATGATTAAGGCCGTGTCCTGAATCGTCTTATTGTTTAAGCTTATTTTTGTTTAGCAGCTAAACAGATTTAGAGCTAGTTTTATAAATATATTGGACTGGAAAGTCACAAAGATATGATACCTACGTAAATCTAAATAACCTCTTTCTCTTTCGGCTGTTAAAACGAAGAGATATAGACGGCTAAACAAATTACTATTTAGAAATAAGAACGAACCAGGACACAGTCTAAGACCTTTTTAATATTTGGAGTATTTAAGATGGTATTTACTATTATAGTCTTAGCTAATAAATCACCATATATTTGTATAAAAATTTGAAATTATTCATGAATTGTAACTTCCTCATCCAGGTATCTGCTACTTATTGACATTTTGTTTAATTCAACTTAAAATGTTGGTGCTCTATAATTTTAGGGCTATATAGATCAACGATTTTTTCACTGATAGAGATAAATTTTGAATTATTTCTATATTTATTCTCATAAAAGTCAAGGGGATCGCAACTAACTATAAATTTATCTGATTAATTTAGGTTATAATTATATTTTATTTAAATATAAATTATTATAATATTTATATAGCCATTATTAAATCATGTAAAATTCAAGATTACATATAAAAATAACTTTATACAACATAAGGAATGACAGAAGACAAAAAAGAACGCACCAAGCAAAAAACATTAAACCTAATACTCAGGTGAAAAATATGATGTAAATCCTCTAGAGGGGTCAGGCCCCAATTAAGATGGAAGTGATAAAATGTTCAGGATAATTATAACTTGTGCCAAAATTTCCTAAAAAAGGATTAAAAAAATTTCATAAAATTATTTTTATTAATCTAAATAAAATGGAAATTTTTAATAAATATATTTTATTTTAACTATGGTTTAAAGAAAACTAAAGTATTTACTCTAGTGGAGTTTCACAGACCCCAATCAGTCACGAAATGCTTATATCTTTACTCAATCAAAATAAATGAAATTTAGAATATATATTCCAAAATATATTTAATGAAGCTACCTGAAACTTGAAAATAATAGTTAACCGTTTTTACGTGATATCATTTCTAGCATGTTAGTGGTCCTATAGACATCACCGGATGATTGAAGGGTACCACGCAAAAAATTGATGAAAGCAGCAAAAAGCATGAGAAATGATGTAAAATATTTTTTAAAAAACATGCAATGACAAAGGCAATAAAGATCTAATAAATTGTGTACCTTTAAAAAAAATACCTCTACATTTTGCTACAATTAATAAAAAAATATTTTTGCCCTCCCCTGAAATTTCTATGTTTATTTTCTTCAGATACTCATTTAATCTTTCATGCAAATAAAACCAATTTGTCAAGGATTTCATTTTAAAAAATATTTTTATTTGATTAAAAATAATATTCCTAGAGTTCTATTGTAATGTTTAAGTTTTTAAAATTGTAGCCTAAAATTAAAAATTTTCATACCCAACTTAAAATGTAAAACAGGAAAAAATATTATCTGCAAAGTAAATCGAATCTAGCTTTATTTTTTAAAAGGGCTGCACATATATAATTGGATAAATATTATTTATTTTATTTTATAAAAGTAAAAATTAAGAGACTAAAGATTGTTTCTTTCCATTCAAAAAGAAAAAATGGGATAAAGATAAGACAAACGTTAAATTTTTTTTACTTGTCAACAGCTATTTGCCAATAAGCTTCCCTAGTTACGGGAGCATAAGTGAATTCTCCTTGATAAAATTCGGGGTCGCTACCACCTAAAATCATTTCGCCCCCTATCTTGGAATCCACGTTTCTAAATAATGTTTATATATAATATATCCATATTTTTAAAAAAAAATTCTTGCCGCATTTGTCTGATTACAACTTAAATTTTTTTTTTAAATTTATACTTGTCTCTCAATTTCTTTCTTTAAAAAAAATTTTACATCGTTTAATTTCAATATTTATCTATTTTTTCTGATTCCATTCTTTATATAGGTAAATAATTCTTAATCCAATTTTAACTCCATTTTTTTTTTAAACTAGCATCTTCTTAGGATAAATGTAATTTATAATTTGTACTTAGGAAAATTTGATAAGTTATTAAAGAATGAGACATGCGAACCTAGGTGGAAATTTATCCAATATACCCGATACATATCAAACCCAAAATTTAAAAATTTGTCATGACTTTCTTCACTTTACCTTTCCCCTCTGCACAAAATAGGTTGTAAAAAATCTTTAAAAAAAAACCTATTGAGATAAAAGGAAAAAACTGGACGTTCCAGAATAGAACTACCAATCATATTATCGAAAACAGGCATCACTCCATCGACCGCTATTCGCTTGAAAGCCAACCCCAAAATTCCGTCGAATTTAGCGGCTACAAAAGTGAGCCCTGGTTGTTTGAGAGCTTCAGCAAATGTTTGGTTAGACACGATGATAGGCGTTGAGTCTGTAGAACCAATCTTTAATAAAATGAGCGATTTTATTTTGAATATATAAAAATTGGATAAATAATTACTAGTTTACAAAACGCATGTATATATTTTATCAGTTTATTGAATATTAATTTAAAAATAAAATTGCAAGTTCAATTTATTATAAAGATTATAAATATTTATATAAATTTAAGTATGTTTATTAAGGCTGTGACCTAAATATCAAAAATATAATTAATATACTTTAGTAACTTAACAAAAAAGAAAAATAAGCTCTTTTTGTAAAAATAAAATCCTGGCCTAAATTATTTTTAAATTTATGAGGGTTTATTAATTTTTTAAAGTTATTAATAAATCTTAGCTTAAGTTTATAAAGTTGTGAAATTTTCACCAAAAAAAAGTAAGCGAAATTAATATTTTTCAAATTGTAATAAGAAATTAATCAAAGCAAAAAAATAATTTGATAGGAATTATAAATTTCAAATTTTACAAAACATTTTAAGATTTGAAAGACTTTGGATATGTTTCATAATTTTATAAAGTTATGAAAGTTTTGAGGTATTTTAAAATATATTTAAGTCCGATGTAGTTGAATAATGAATAAATTTTTTTATTATTTAGAATGAGGGATCAGGAGTAAACCTAACCGTTACCCGGAATGAACCTTTATAATTTTCTGAACCGCAACCGAATTTTTATACCAAAATGGCTATAATGGAACGAACTGAATCCATAATTTTTTATGAACCAGTTAAAACTGCTTTGTTAAATCTAGGTTGGGCTAATAAAAATAAAAATAGACATTTACAAATATCATATCTTATTTAATTAAATATTGTAGACTTTTGGAACAATATGAATAAGTTATATTTTTTACTGATAAATCTTAAAATTTAATTTTGTAGGCGAGTGTGTATATTTTTTCAATAAAATTAATCCACATTTTTGCTAGGTACATGCTGTTTTTTAAGAAAGAAAGATACATTATTAGAGCGAACGAAAAGTAAATTAAAAAACAGCTTTGAGGAATGCATTTCGGAAGCCTACATAGAGAATCAGAAAATGAAGGATATTTTACAAACTCTTTACGATGATTCACCTTAAACAACTCTGACATTTAGTAATCTACAAATAGAGATAAAAGATCCAAAAGATATATTATCATTCAAAATAATATGAAATGGAAAACTGGTAATATCAATTAATTGGACACAAATTATATTAGCCCTTTAACGCTCAAATAATTAAAACAAAATTCTAAAAATCATTTATTTATATACTTCATGGATGCCAAAAATTTGGTTCAACTTTTATTTTTAAATATATAGGTAAAAGAAATGATGAAATCAACTTCATCAGGTTCAGTGTGATAAAAAAAAATAAATATTTATTTATTAAAAAAATTTCTGAACAATTTATATATTGGTTGACAGATAAATATATATTACATCTTATTCTTAAGTATCCATTTATGCATAAATTGAATCTTTGCCTCGCGTCCAGCCTCTATGATCTATATAATAAAATCTGACAGGCGCGGTCACTTATTTAAATTTTGCCAACCGATAACAATACGAGGTTTAAATTAGACAAGATTCGTATATTAATCTTTAAAACAGAAAATGGAAAAGATATTTTTTACACACTTTACAATGATTCACCTTTAACTTCATCAACTCCAACATGTAATAATCTACAAAACAAGATGAAAAATCCATAAAATAATGATATTATCCTCCAAAGTAATATGAAATGGAGAGCTTGTGATATATCCATCAATTGAACACAAATTATATTAATACCCACCAAATATAAACTCCTTATTAATATTTTAAATTATTTATTTAATATAATATATTAAATAATTATGTGAATAGAGTAATTTATACATTTATGAACAAATCAATAGATCGCTAAATCTAGACATAAATGAATTAAAACAATAGGAATACGTCCTGTTTTCAGCTGTGGTTAAGATCCTTGCAACTGATAATATTGGTCTACGAAATTAGTATTCCCTTAGGGAAGAATATGTCTCGTGCCAGGTCAAATATTGATAATGAGTGCGTATAAACAATACATAAAATTGAAGCCTCATAAAATTACTGCAGCGTCAAGAATGTCATAAACTTATAAATGTCTTTACAGACTCGTCATCTAATTTCGTAAAGCATCAATTCACATTTAATGATATTTATTTCATAAACAACCATTTGCTAAATTTTAAAATTAAAATAAATTTTTATATTTATGATTGATATATAAAAAATCAGCTAGAATTGAAAAAAAAATATTAAAAATCTAATATTTCATTTTTTTGTTTGACTGATAGAGACAGGCGCGTACGCAGGAATTTGGTCTGGGGGGGGGATAATAAATTTTTTTAAGAAATATTATTGTTATTTAAAAATATCAAGCATAAATTTATTAGGACTATAACTATTTCTAATACACAATTTTAAATTATATGAATTATAAAAAAATTATATATATAAACCGGCACATAAAAAACTATAAAATAAATGTGAATTAAAAAATAAAAAGTGAATATAACCATAACCACCATATGAATCACTTAAATGACCCAAAATAGAAATTTGAATTTTTTGAGCCTTTAAAATTTATATATAAAGTAAAAAAATTTAATGTTGGAAATATAAATATTAATACACAAAAAGTTTCTTAGGAATAATTATATTTTGTATTATATTTACAATGTAAAATCCAATCTTCGTTGGGATTGAGCTAATTTTTCAATTACTCATCCTTGCTTGGCGTCAAATGCTTATAAATATTTAAAAGATCCAAACCATTCAATCCACTTTCAGAAGTTGTACTTCTTAGGTATGTCTTCAGAGAACTGAAGGACCGGTTCCCGGGGATCGTATTTTAATTTTTTAAATAAACCCGAGCAGGGCCCGAAATTTTTTAAAAAAAACAGCCGGGCCTGATTTTTTTTTAAAAAAAATTATCCGGGCTCGGCTATATATTTTAAAACCAAATATTTGAAATTAGCTATAAAAATCAAAAATAAATATAATTTCTTTAAAAAAAAACCCGGGCCGGGCCGAAAAAAATTTTGAAAAAAAATCCAGGCCGTGCCCTGCAGATTGTATCTCTGCAGGGCTCTGTTATTCTTCTTAAAAAAGAAAATGTTCTCTCATTAGTTTACTAATGGGAAGAGTTGATAGTATATATATAATATATATAATCATTTTAATACATTGGGAATAAAATCTAAAATGTGTTTGAAATTATATAAAGCATCCATAGCATTTTTTATGACTATATCTTAGTTAATCTTTTAAACATAGTTATTCAGCTAATAAAGGCATCAAACAAATATTATTTTTTTTCTACCACCATCTGAAAAAGATTGAGAAGGCTTTTGTGGAAGTAATATCTGCAGATTGGTAAGTGCTGCATGATGAATTAAAAACCATTCATTTATTTGGATTATAGTTTTATAATACTTTTCTACTGATCTTATACTAATGTTTTGACGATGAGCTTGTCTTGCTGCAAATCGAGTGAGACAAATATTAAACACGTATAGCTCTCCTTTTGACTCAACGATAACATATAAAATTAAATTCTTCATCAACACTAGCCCTAATTTCCTTGAATTCTAATAAAATGCTCCCCGCTATTCTCATCTTCTTAATCAAGTCAATGTCATGTTTTTGAAAAGTATTACATAAAATAGTTGTATAATTAAATAATACATTCTAATGAGAGAAAAAAATTGAAATAAGTATTGAATCCAATAATTTTCTTGCTTCTGAGGAAATATTTCTCTCAGGCCATTGTGATATTTCAGTAATAGCATTAATAATCGGTTTTTTTAACTCTATAAAAGCTGTTACTGCTTGATAGAGGAGACTCCATCTCGTTGGACAAACTTGCACTTTCTTTCTCCCTGTTGGACAAGGAGTTTCAGAAAAATTATTATTTGACTAGAAATATGAAAATGGTAGAAAAATAATACGCCACTAGAAATTTGAAAATAATAGGTAAATATTACGTTAATGAAAACTTGAAATCGAAATTAATTGATATATAACTTAATAGATGAATGTGATAAATAAATGTAATTAAATATATATTTAATATGAGATAGGAATAAATATTAACAAATATAAATTAATATAAACATCAATTTTTGAAAATCCGGCATCTGCATTTTTTGGCTTTGGGGGAGGGGGGATTTGTCCTCCTGCCCTTCCCCCCCCCCCGCTGCGTACGCCAATGGATAGAGACGTTAACCAAAATCATATAAAAATGAGATGAATCATAATAAGATATTACATAAACTTAAAAAAAAAAGAAATTGTGAAAACTGTAAAAACATTAACTCAAAAACCCTAGTTTTCAAATAATAAAATGAAAGCAATATCTCAGGAAAAATTAAATAATGTATTAACTTCGATTTTTTTTAAAGGAATGCATCCATTATCTATAGTTGAACAAAAAAAATTTGTAAAAATGATAAAAGGTAAATTTAATTTTATAGTTTTCTCTTATCCTTATTTTCTACTTGTCAATTTATTAGAATTAGAACTATTATATTGTAATGAATTACCTACCAATTTAAAAAGTTTCTAGAAGATTTTTGCAAAGAAAAATGGGTGAATGGTTTAAATATGAAAATGATAATCTGAAATGGCTATTGAAAGCTTAGAAATATATCATATCCACACTACTGCAGATATTCGGTTTTCTACTATTTAAAGTTTTAAAAAAAGTAACATGTATCTTGAATACAAATTTTTAAAAAGCATATATATATGGATACAATTTTTTGAAAATTTGCCCATGGGAATATAAATATATAATTTTTTTAAATTAAAAAGTTGGCCGTCAAAAGTGGTTAAAGATGATTATCTTCATACTATTTTTTAAAATATATAAAAAAACTAGGTCTTATTATAAATGATTTTAATTGCATGGTTAAGATAATGGATATAGCTTAAAATATAATGTTGAAAATGAAAAACACTAGTAGTATTCTGATTTTGAAAATAATTTAACTCATAGCATAGATATGTGCTTCCCATATATATAATCTCCTCTAATGATTTAGAAAAAGTAATAAAGGATAAAACATTAAATACTTTAAAAAATAATCATTTTGAATTGTAAAGAATCTTAGTATAAGTAGACACAACACACTAACAGAAAGTATCCAAACATATTTAAGTCAAGGGCCAATACTATGGTAAATGTGAAGAAACCAGAAAAAATATTTATAAAATAATTTAACAAAAAGTTATATCAGCCAAAAAACATCTTCTTAAGGTTACAAAAAAACCTATAATAAAACAATTTATAATGTTGTGCCGATGCACAAATTATTAACTGATCTGAAATTCAAATTAATTTTATTTGCCTGAATATCATAAAAAAATAGTATTTTCTCAACGAATTATTAAGTGTATTTTGTTTTTTTAATTCTCAAAAAGTTAATAATCTCATTTATAATATGGGCAATGTTTATGGCTAAATATAGTAGTGTTAAACGGCTCGATTTAAAAGATTTTAAAAACGGTTATCAATTTTACCCAAAATATTTTTATTTAAGCTTCGAAATTTAGATAATAATGTCCTAATCTTCCTGTCAACTATGGGCAAAATCTCCAAGCTTGAATAATTTGACTAAAATCTTAATTAACCGTTTTTAATACTGAATTAAGGTGACGTTAGTTTTCATTATATTTTTCTTATAAATAGGAGAGAAAAACTAAACAATTGATTTATTCTTTTGCTTATTTTTTGTCGCGAAATCGATTTCATAAATTATAATGATTTATCACTTTTATTTTGTTTATTTGTGATGTTATATACCTGGAAATAAATGAGAGATTAGAGAAAATGTTTAGTATTAAATATGAGTATTATTAAAACTAGCGAATTGATTTAAAGTCTCAGATGGCTCCAGCTGTTCTTTGTCAAACCTCAGTCTTTCTTAATTTTGATTCCTTAGGGCTAAAATGTTAAATAACTTAAATCAAGCCATCGGGTGGCTACTGCCATTCCTTGCCAAATGCCAAACCTCGTTTCCCTCATTTTGTTTCATTAAGACTAAAATTGAAGATAACTTAAACCAAAACCTCAGATGGCTCTTGAATACGGCTCTGGTCGTTCCTTGCTAAGGCAACCATTTCCACTTATTTTCCTTTTTGTAAATTCTAAAAACGGTTAAAGCACAATTAAAATCGGGTTTCCAAGACCCCATCCCGAAAAATATCAAAATATCGATCGTTATCGAACCCTCCCTTACCCCATAATTAGTGTTCGTGGTGCTCACATATTCCGGCTCAAACATTTTACCATCTTTCAAAATAGTTCGATTATTTTTAGAAATAAATTCCATTTTGGTTCCTTTAAATAATTTGTTATTATGAAATTATGAAAGACATTAATTATATATAGAAATACAATCATAATAAAACCAAAAACAATAAAGATATCGGATCGGTATATATGAAAATATCAGGAGGATCAGATATTTTTTTAAAACGATAAATATCGGTGTGGATCCGGTATTTAATATCGGGACAGTTCTAAAATTTTTATAATATTAATCAAATATATTTTTAAAAAAAATTATGGCTTTTTTATTTGCATGTTTTTAATATAAATTTCCAATATTCAAACGGTTTATGTCTATCTCTATTGAAATAATCGATCTTTCCTATGTCAGTCAACCTTAAATATGTTTATTAATTTAAGTCGAAAAGCTTCTTTGGCTAAAAGGTGTCAATATTTTAATAATAAATTTCGAAAAAAATATTCTAAAAACTCTCATTTAGCCGTCTTGAAAATAGAAGTTTTTTCCCCCTCGAGGAATTCATAACCTGTAGTACTTTACTTCAGACATAATAACATGTTATACAAATGTATTCTCTAGATTGCTCTTTGTTCTATAAATAAATAAAAATTATTTTTTTCAAACCTTGAGAGCGTCAGTGCTGAGATAGCCAGACAAAGCACCTGTTCCATATTGAATCTTAAATTCAGTTCCATTTTTAACATAGGTTTTAGACTTTGTATGATCGTATTTATTGTGGATATCTATGTGAAGATGTTTAACAGTAATTTAATTTCATATATTCACTATCATTCCATAATTTTTTTTGGTTAGTAAATTTTATGTGCTACTTTCTAGGTTATTTTTATCAAAATGCTCATTCGCATTAATTCCTTATATTCTTCCAGTCATTCTTAAAATTTTTCATTAAAAAAACATTTTCTTCTTATTTTCTCTTTTCTTTATTTTATCTTTCAAACATACAGTATCCGTTTTTTTCTTATTACACATTTATTCTTACCTTCATATAATTCCTACATTCTTTCAAAATAAATTTCTTATAAAAATTCATGATATGTAATATGTTATAGTAGTTATAACCAAAAATGATATATCTTGATATTTAATAAAAAATGAAAATGCCAAATTATTTAAATTGTTTGATGCTTTATCCTTTTTATCTCTTTCTTAATTTAAAGTTTTCTACAATATATTTATTTATATAAAGTTTTATAATCAAATTTATTCCTTTGTTATTTTAACTACTATATTATATTTTTGTTCTTATATTAATTATTCATAATGCTTTTCATTCATTAAATCATCACCTTCGATACCAACAACTTAGAATAGAACCTAAGAAATTTCTTTCTTAAGCTATGTCCAAAATCTAAAAATACAAATAAATAAATTTTGTAGAAAAAATGAGACGAGCTATTTTTAATGTAAAAATAAAATAGCGTTCTAAATCATTTTTTTTTATTTACAAAAATTTATGTTTTTTTAAAAATAATAGGAATAAATTTGAATAAAAATTTATTCAAAAATTATTTATTTGGGTAATTATTATGAAAAAACTAGTAAGTAATATTAAGAGGGTTGTGCCAATATTAAATATTGGATCGACACTGATATTTAGCATTTTCAAAGGATTGAGCCGATACCTGTAAAAACCCAATCCGATCTTTTTTTGTTATTTTATGTTTTGTATATTTATTTTACATTATTATAATATTTTCTAAATATTTTTTTAAACAATATAAATGCACAAAACCCCCTAAATTTTTATTTTTTAAAATAGATTTATAGTATTTTAAAAGTTTTTTATAAAAATAGAACAGCCAAAGTTTTATTTATTTCAAATTTTCATAAAGAATAAAGCCAATTTTATTATTTATACTTTAAATAAAAGAATTTTTTTTAAATATGGTATCTGAATTATGTAAATATTTTACAAAAGACAAAGATAATTTTGCAAAATTCGTTATCTGCAAAATTCTAATTTCACGTGGAGTAATACGTGGAGTAATAATGAAAGATACATCAATTTGATTTTTTGCATAAAAAATATTGATTTATTATTTACAGTTGGTTCAAAGGGAGTGGGGGGGGGGGGGGTGAAAAATCAATATAAATATCAGATCGATTTTGAACCAATATCGGATCGGATTGGTGAAAAATATGTGGATCAGCACAGCCCTAAATATTAAAGTATGATATTTTTGTATTTTATAAAAAAAAATAATGGAAGATTCTGGACATGTTTCATGATTTAATTAATTTGCAAAAATTTATAAATTTTGAGAATTTTTTCAAAACATTTTAGATATAGCTTTAGAAAAATGTATCTTTTTTCAATCAATAAAAAATATTGATCATTTAGGGAGAAGCTAGAATAATTAAGTAATGGACAAACATTTGAAATTCCATTAAATTAAACCTGTTTAGATTTTAGAAAAAATATAAGGCTACCTACCATTTAAAAAAAAAGAAGATTAAGAACTAGGGTAAAATAAAAATATATAAATATTTTAACTTTATCAAATTTTTGTATAATTATGTCTTTTAAATGTGAAAAATAAATAAAATACCTCTATAAAACAATATTTGTTGAATTTTTAAAATATTGTGGCTTTAAATATTTTATAATTCCAAAAAATTTTAGATTTATTGTTAGCACCCTTAAAGAATGAGCATTATTATTAAGTTTCTGATAATACTTAGATAAATTAGGGACAATATACAAATTAACTTACAGCAAGCTATATCTAGAAGAGAGCAGAATTTAGATGGAACCCAAAGATTGGCTGAACCAGTGTCAAAAACAACACTAAACTTCTGTGGTGGTGTTCCTAATGTTATAAACCCATAGTATTGAGCCTGCAATAAAAAAAATTGTTTTACTGTCATATTATGTGATTAAAAAAAATAGGTTTACTAATTATTACAAAACGTACAAGGTATAAATTAGTTTATATCTAAGCATATGAATTAATAAAATGTATTTTCATAAGTAAATAAAAAATATTAATATTCAAAAAAATATTTCAATAAATTTACATCTAAATAATTTGTTAAATATTCAGAAGTTCCTTCATCTACGTTATTAAGATCTCTGTCAAGAAAATATTTATTATTTCTTCCATCATGCATAGCATCATATTTAATAATATCATTGTAAATGCCATCAATAGTTTTAAGATGTTGAAATCTTTGTTGGAAAATGTTCTTTAGGTAGACATCCTTGATTAATTTGGCATTAAACAAACTTCTACGTGGTCTTTCTTGCTTATTCAAAGGAACCCTGATTAATCTTAAAAAGAAAATTGTTACTTCTAAAAATAACAAATTTTTTGATTTATTTAAAATTTCTACTACCTATTTGCTTCAAAAGAACTTGTAATTGAGAAAAAGCTAATTAACAATAATATTATTTTGTCTATCATTTCATAAATTAGGATAGATGTACAAATAAAGCTAATTTTAAAAGGTTAACCTGATAAATTTCGAAAACCTTAACAGATTGTTTGATCAATCAACCTTAAAAAATTTGCAAATCAAGCTATGTATTTTGATTTTTATTTTAATATTTTTAAAATTATTTTGTTTAAATTATTTATGATTTGTTTAATTAGCATAATTTATAAAATCATCAAGTTAAAATTTCCAAATTGAAGAATATTAATATAAAATATCCGATATACCATAGTTATAGACCCCTCAGAATATTATCTTTCTAGTAAATATCCAATATACCATAGTTATAGACCCCTTCAGAATATTGCCTTTAGTAAATATCATAAGCAAATAACAATTTTCCTACCCCCCCCCCCTTCCCCCCACACACTCTCTATCTCCAAAATATGTATATAATAGATCACTGTACGCGTTAATTGGAAATAAAATAAGGTAAAGTTGATAATTTTTTTAAAATAATGACTACAATTAGATGTATAATGATCTTTGAATCTTAGAAAATTAATTCTAAATAGAAATTTAAAATACAGGCACACGGAAAGGGTAGGGATTGGTTACGATCGATGGCCTGAGCGTTTTTAGTTAAAATAAAGGGAAACTGTTTCTTCGGATCTATGGGAATTCATAGGACATGAATCCAAAATATGAACCTAAGTTATAGAAGGCAACTGAAGGTAGAAGATAAATCTAAGGTTATTTTTTTTAAAAGTTAATCAATAAAGTTACTTTTTAATTTTTATTATCAAAACATTCTATATTTTTTTTTATTACAATTCGTAGAACAATATATACAGTTATTTTAATTGTCGATTTACATATGTTCAAATAAGTTAACCTTTAAAAATATATCGTTTTTTTACTATATTTTTAAACAAATTATTTTAAGGTAATACATTTTTTACAAAAATAAATTATTCAAGAAAAGAAGCAAAATAATTTCTGTAAAAAATAACCTTAAAAATAAAAAAAACTATTTAATTCTATTTAAAATAATCAAATAAACAAATACACCGATATTAAAAGAACGGCTTAGGTCTCACTACTGGGGATGTGGGTTTTGATCTTAGATTATAATTGAAGACGCCTTTAGTCATACCACTTGGTTGTAGTGAGTCTTAATTAATATAGTTAATTCCAAAGTAAGTAATTAATAATCAAATCCTTATAGCATAAAAATTTAGTTAAAAGTAAAGAAATATAATTAATTCCTAAATTGTAATCAATTTTCAGTATTCATTATGAAAATAAAAATAAAGAAACAATTTCTATAAAAATTCAATGATCGAGTTTTATTTTCGCTTGTTATTTATGATAACTTAATATTTGCAACGTAAACTACATGGGGACACCAGAATATATGCATAATATAAAACAAAAATAATAATAGTTTTATCGCTAGTGACTATTAAGCAAAATCAATACATAGGCGATGATAAAATTTAACAAAATCATCCTTTATTCGTGCTTTGTTAATTCTATTTGCAGATTAAACGTAAGCTAAACAGAGACACCTTTGTATGTAATATAAAAAAAAATAACATCATGGGGATATTATATCAAAATTAAAACTAAGAAACGGAAAAACATGAATTAAATGGAAAAAAAATATAAAATAAATAAGATAAAAAGGTAAAGAATATTATACTAAGCAAAATAGCAAGGGAGAAAATCTAAAATTAGAAAAACTTCTTTCCTTTCTATATTAATGATAATAGCGCAACTTTCGCACCCTTAAATATTAATAAATATCTTGAATCACAACCCCCATTTCCCGTGGTAGAAGCAGGCGCGTAACTAGGGGGGGGGGGGGGTTTGCCTGTTCTCGTGAAATCTTAAACTAGGAAATATTTAAGATTTCAAATCTTACATCCTTCTTTTCTCCAAAAAAAATTTGAAAGAAAAATTGGTAAATGTTAATAATTTTTATAATATCTCCAAGATCTTCAGAAAAAAGCATTTTTATAAAAATATAATATGGCCAAAGGCCTACAATAAAATTTATGAGGAAAAACCCGCCTAATAGTGCCTCCCCCCTACAGGAAAATGATAGATACACCTAATTGGAATGTCTTAAGATCAGGGTTGCTAGGTTAAAATTTTCAAATTGCGGGAGAAATTTAGTATTATGCGGGAGAAATATGAAAATTGTGGTAGAAATATAAAAATTGCTAAAAAGTTCCGACCTTCGGCCGGGATTTTGAATGACTTAATTATCCGTCTATTATTTTTTATAATTAGTTTATATAAATACAAAGTCGGTAACTATTTTTCAAAATAAAATAACATCTTGATTTATTAAAATATATTAATTTATAAAAAAAAACCAGATCTTTTTTAAATATAAAAGAATGTAAACAAGATAAAATTTTATAAAAAAAAACGATTTTAATTTTACAATTAAAAATATATTTTATGCGAATGTCCCGCAAAACGACCGCAATTGGAAATCTATCGTGTGTGTATAACATTGTAGGAATAGGCGCTTAATTATCACGTATCACGTTTAAATACATAATAAGGTACTCCAAAAATAGGAAATAATACAGATGCAACTACAGTTGCGGCAATTGTAATCACTTATCTTGTTGTACAACATTCACAGAGATATTTATCATCACAATGTTGGTTGAATCTTTTTCCCATAATATTTAACGACTCTAATATTAATGAAAACTATACTTGTAGAACAAAAATGAGCAAGGCTATCAATGTTTTAGGACCTAAATCCAGGAGGTCAATTCTTGACGATATAAAAGATGGGCATATATATGCAATTCTAACAGATGCATCTAATAAGGGAAATATTAAAATTATTAAAATATTTCCCTTGATCCTCCGCTATTTCAACAAATAAAGGTCGTTTTAAAAAATTTTAAAATTCTATCTATGGCAGGTCTTAATGATAACCACCTGATAGGTACATATAGCAACAACTCATACCATTCCAAGTCAGACCACTTCACCAACTCTTTTAATTCATTAACACTTTTAGTTGATGAACTAAATTCGTTAAAACATTACATCACAATTATTTCGACATCCACAGATAGTACATTCATTGCCTTCTTGCAAGAATTATGTAATATATGGCATATACAGACAATTGGTATTAATTCATTATTGTGCTGCCTCAATTCGGTAACTTTAGTTTTGGCCAAAATTTACAGAGGCATTATCAGCGCAGAAAGCTGACATGCAAATCATTGATAACCCTGAATCAGCTATTTACCATTATGTGGCTAGCTACATCGTTGGATTTTTCACTATCCGAGGAAAAATTTTTAACAGTTTTATTGAAATGTTCTTATTATTGTTGAAATAGAGAAGGATCGAGGGAAATATTCCTTATTAGATGCTTCTGTTAGAATTGTATATGGATGCCCATCTTTCAAATCGTCTAGAATTGACCTCTAGGATTCAGGTACTAAAACACTTGTGATAGCCTTGCTCATTTTTGTTCTGCCACAAGTAAGGTTTGCACTTATATTGGAGGCGTTAAATATCATGAGAAAAGATTCGACCCACATTGTGATGATTAGCTCTGTAAATGTTGAACTACATGATAGATGTATACGATTTCCGCAAATGTAGTTGCGTCTGTATTATTTATTATTTTTGAGAATATTTTTGTATTGCAATCGATGTTGATATACTACCCTGTACTGACTTATATGAATGAAATGATGTTGATTTATTATTGGATAAAAATAAAGCAGGATAGAAAGAAATTTACAAACTAGACATGTTTTTCGAATAAATATTTAAAATTAATTTTAAAAATAATCAATTAATGTCTCTTATTTATATATTAAAAACGTTAAAATACTTTAAAAAAATTACGGTAGTTTTGCGGGAGAGAGATGTCTGCGTGTAAACTAAAAAATTGCGGGAGTCTCCTGCTGATGGGGGTAGACATGGAAACCCTGCTTAAGATAAACTAATTTTATTCTTTCCTATTCGTTCTTATTTTTTATTATAAGATAATAATTATAATTTGTTTTCTATAATAAACATGTTAATATATTATTGAGTGAATATTAAACATATTAGATTTATTAACATAAATCATAATAACAATATTATAAAATTTACATTATTTGTATTATCAATATGAATATCCTATTGTTTTATAAATAAGGCTTATGATTATGACCCCCGCCATTAGTAGCTGCAAAGTGGGGAGGTTTCCAAGATATTCGAGTAGGATCCAGTGCAAATTTTACAGGCGATTTTCTATCAATCACGTCATCGTCATCATTTTTGACTATACTAGGAGAATCTGATTCATTTTTACTAGAAGAAATTATTTTAAGTAGAGCTTCGTCGAGTTGTTTAGAACTCACACATATAACGTGCTTACATTTCCAATATTTAGTCATGTTCATGGCTTTTAACGTATTTAGAATGTCTTCTTGAGAAATGGAAGTTAATTTGCTACAGAAAAGGAATAATAAGTTATATGAAATTAATTTAAGAGGATTGGGGTGGGGGTAAAGAATAATATGCATTAAGCAAAAAGCTAACCATTTCTACTCCGTATAAATTGATTTAAATTAAGTTTAGTTAGTGAGATGATCTCACATTTAGTCACTGAAGTGATCTACCATTTTAAATCAGCTGTGGATAATATATTTTGCCTTTAAAGTGGAATATGTATATTTTTGACAAATAATACTCCCAATTTTTTTCTACTTATACGTTGTATAGGCCTTATAAAAAATAATAGAGGTATAATTTATATGAGATAATATATTAAACATATGAGTTAAAATTAATTATAAAATTTATCGGTTCAGGTCCAGATGTTTTAACGGTTTAAGGCTCAGGTTTTAAAAAATAATGATATCGGGTTGGTTTAAAACCGGTTTGAGCTTTTTAGCATATTCACTTTGATTGAGAAAGTCTCGAATCTTTTGATTATAGATTTAGTTTGGTTTAGATTCTAGGAAAATAAATTCATAAAGGTCTAGATTCGGTTCAGTTATTAAATTATATAAAGATTATTATTCTCTTTTATACAGGGTACCCAAATATGGCTCTATAGATAATAAACTTGTTTAATTAAAGGAATAAAGACAAAAGTCAAAAGCTTACCCAAATTAATATTCTCAATTTTTATTTGTAAAATTATGATTACGGCCTAAAATTAAAATAACATCCTATATATCTTTGCCCAATCTTGTTCTGTGGTGATAAAACCAATTTTAATCCTGAAAATGATCTCTACCAAAACCTGTGTAACTGGGACATATACGGCTATTCCTCATAATAAATACAGACCCTAATTTTCTTCCATAGAATATCGATGTTTTTATTAAACTATTCGATGCTGTTAAAGAATTTTAATAATACCTATTAATTGCTCTTGATTGTGTGACATATTTTGACTTCTGTGATTTTCTTTCATCGGTGTGCATCCCATACTTTACACCCCTCAATTTATGATTGTAAAAATCTATAGAATTAAATTTATAAATAAAGCTAGACCTCTATAAAAAGAAAAGAAATTAAACTTTAGCTATTCCCAGCAAACCTAAATGAAAATGGTCATTATTGATTTGCTGCATATGTTAGAATTCTACTTTCAAGATCATAGAGAATCTACTTGAATTATAAGATTTTTTCAATAATTTATCTATACGTATCACTGGTTCTGAGTTATTTAAATGAAATACAATAAAAAATATTTTAATAGCTTTAAAATCGGTATATATATTTACAAAGCTCATACAGTTCTAGCCATTAATATTAAGTGATATTTATTTGTCTCTCTTAAAATGTAAGATTGAAATAAACTTAAAACAAGATTTGGCAATTTTGATAAATCTATATATTAATGGAGATATAGTATAAAATCACGCATTCTGTGCATGTTTTTATCTTGATCCCAGATATCAAATATTATTATCACATAAATAACAAGATTAGAAAACATCTTTGCTTGACATGATGTAATGACAACACTTGATTGTATAATGATAGACCAGTCAAAATAATTATCTCGACACTTAAAAACTTGGCACATAATACAAATCAAGAATAATTAACAGGTACATTTGTGAATTCTTTCAACGATATCGAAAGGGTTTTTTAAAAAAGGCCCCGATATTCGAGCATATTAGAAAGAGGAAGAATATTAGAGCAACCAGAACTCCATCAATTAGCAACAATAGCCATGTCTATTAACCGTAGAGCATAAGAGATAAAGACATATCAGATGCTTTTAATTTATACGTTGTAATCATGATTTAATACACAACCTGTGTGTTCTTCTTATTCCTATCAATTTATCATAAAATAAGGTTAAAATCTTTATTAGAGCTATATGGGTACTTTTATCTCTGTATAAAAAATAATAATTATTTAACCTTCTTACTTTAACCGACCCAGAACTTTTATCCTGAACCAACCTAAACCTGTACAATTATGTCTTCCTGAGACCTTAACCAGGGGTCTATGTATCTAAAGGTTTGACACTCTGGCTGGCATAGTCAAATAACTGAATATAAAAATATCTAAAATAAAGGCGGAGAGTGACCAATCAAAATTAATTCAAATGAAATATGAAAAAAAGGTTGGCCGATCAATTTAAAGGTTGATTCAGGTTTGGGTGACAAAAATTTAGACGACTCAGGTTTATTTTAGTAATTAATAAAGGTTAATATCGGTTCGTACTCTTGGCTTCAACTTAATTATATAAAAATTGAAGAAAAATATTGATATTAGATGTGGGTAAATATTCTTCATTCATATACTACTTAGATGGGATATTTTTAGTTTAAATTTTATTTTACAATTTATAAAAAAAATAATTTCTATTGACATCTATGGGCGCAAAAAGGAATAAAAATGCTATCATTGTAACAAATATTGTCAGATTCTATGTGTAATCCACTAGTAATAGAAATCATAATACTAAAAGAAATAAAACATTTATAATTTGATCGGAACACAAAAATGTCGAAAAGTTAAAACATAATAAAATACAAGCAACGAGATATGTTAGCCAGAGAAAAAATAAAATTGAACTTAGTCATGCCAAATTAAATCTTTAAGCGTTCTTAAGGTTATAAAAATAACATTTAATTTGAGAATGTTAAATAAGCTCACCAGACTTTTTTAAAAAACAATTTATAATTTGAACATTTCTAGAAGACCCATTAATAAATTGTCAAAAAAGGGGTTGATTAGCAAACCCTAAATTGTTGCTTGTGATGCTACTGTAATGAACCGCCTATTGATTCACTACATGGAGGTTTTCCTGCATAAATAAAAATTAATAAAAATCTAAGAACTTTTAAATAAGTAATTGTAATATGTATACAAAAATGAAATAACATTTTAAAGAATTTTATTTTGCTTTTAAATTTTTTCGAATTGATTTATAAGAATTTCTGCATGTCAACAAATTCAAATGAGCAATATAATTACATTTTTAAAATTTCAGAAAAAATGTGGGCCAGGCCGCAGTGCCACTAAGTAACCCCAAGTCAATGAGCGAAAGCCACCTGATGACTTATATATAAAACTATACAATTATATAATGGGTACTGAGTATCTGTGTTGACTATGAGGTAGCCCTCCTCCCTTAAATATCAATGGCACAGTGGAATGCACCCGCAGTGTTAGAGAGCCCTGCCAGACTGGACCCAAAAATATCAATATATTTAAAATCGAGCTAAGTTAAATTTTTTGTTTTAAAAATTATCTAAATATTTATTCACTTTTAATGACAATGATTTCTTTTTAAAATTTTCCCTAAAATAGAGCTTAAACTATCTAAAATTCAGTTAAAATTATTTTATTTCTAAGGATCTGATATATTCTAAAGGATCCATATGTAAATAATATTCTCAGTTTTATATATAAATGACAGGCCAATACAAAGTGTTAGTAAAAAATGATTGCTACTAATTTCTAAATAAAGTATTTACTTATTTCACTTTAAAGTCAAAATTATATATTCTACAGTTAATTCAGGTCAGTGACTATAATTTGAATAAGTGTACGAGGCAAAAAAAGTTAGCTTTTCATTTAATGTGAATAACATGAAAAAAAGTGTAATTTTTTACTAATAAGAGATTTAAGGGTATCTTTATATAAGATTATTGTTAATATCAATTACGTCGTTGGGGATGGCTATTTTGGGCGAGCCCAAAATATTTCATTTTATATCTTAAGGAAACGTTGTTTGAGCATGCCTAAATAGCAAAGTTCAAAAAATAAAAATGAATAAATTCTACCATATTCATTATTCAAATGAATTTTTATCAGCAATTCATGAATATAGTTTGAAATGTTTTTTTTATATTATACTTATTTATCGAGCAAGCAATAGTATAATTTTCTATGAAAATTGTTTGTTAAAACTATCTTTTAGCATTAGTTTGTTTTAGTTTTTTAAATATAATTTTATATATATTAAGCTGATTTTTATTGAATTATAAATTTAAATGTGAAGAATATATTTTTTAATAACTCGTTTTAAATAGGAATTTGGTCAAAAGAAAAAAGTAGGGGTAATGACATTAATTTTTTTTTTACAATGTTCGAATTAAATGAGAACAAAATATAAAAATTTTGTTTATATATTTTGTGCTCCCAGACATTGTTAATTTCAATTTTTTATGCACTTATTTTTAAATATTATTTGTTTTTTAATAATTAATATTTCTGATATTTATATATATAACTAGTAAATAGCCCATCAAAAATGACGGGGAATGAAAATTTTCTTCTAACTTTTATGCATGTTACCTGTTATTTGAAAATAATATCCAATTTTTATTCTTCTTACCTCCTCATCCCTTCAGGCCAGGTATAATCCATTAAAACTAAGTGCTATGATTTGAGTAAAAATAAATTTAAAGCATTTACTTGATAATACCAATATTATTTGTTAAATATTACTGATTACTTATACCTAATATTTAATATTTAAAAAAATTTCCAGGCAAAGTCCAAAGCCATATTAATTATGAAAATTCTTCCAAGCCCAATGAAAGATCATAATAATTTTGGTAGTTGAGAACTGAAATAAAATATTTATAATTATCATGATGAATTTAAAAATACAATCAAAATTCAGATTTTCATGGGCCTTGGTTTTTTGATCAGGTCAAGCCCAGGCCTGCAAAAAAATTTATTTTGGGCCAATGTCTGATCTATAATTAATAATAAAAAAATTCTCAAGCGTCCAAGCTCATAATAATTTTGAAAAATTTTCCCCAAGCCCAGCCCAATATAATTTATAAAAACATTTTCCAAGCCCAGCCCAACCCATAATAATTTTATAAAAAAATTTTCTCAAACCTGGCTAACCGATAGTAATTTTCCAAGCCTGGAGATAGGTAAATCTCTAAAAACCATATCTATTTTTTAGTCTATTTTAACCTAGCTCACTCCAACGAAGGCCAACCCATTAAGACTAAGAGTGAATATTTTTTTGAATAAAAATATATTTTACCTGAGGGCCAAATAAATATTCTGTGTTAAATATTATATGCCTAATATTAAAAAAATTCCCAAGCCAGGTCTTCGCACTTGGTTTTCTCAAACCCGCAAAAGACCATAATAATTTTGATAGTTGAGGACTGAAATAAAATATATAAAAAATCACAATGCATTTAAAAATACAATAAGAATATGAAAGTTGCATGGGCCTTGGTTTTTGATCAGGCCTTGCCATGTCTTCAAAAGAAATTTTCAGGCCAATTTCTAGTCCATATTTAAAATTAAAAAATTTACAGGAATCTTAGACTATAATAATTATGAAAAATGTTTCTCAAGCTATGTCCAAGTCCATATTAATGATGAAAAATATTTCCCAAGCCCAGGAAAACCCAAATAATTTATTTGATCCAGAAAAATAGGTCTGATGTAAGGGGCTTATAAGAATTAAATCTGTCTAATTTCAAAATTATAATCAAATGAAGGGTAAATTTCTGATTTACCTATGATTCTACTGGTGAGCTCCTGGTATTTATATGAAATTCATGAATACCCCCGCTCTAATCCAGCGGTACGGCGTATGCCGATATATTTTTTTTTTGGGTTGTAAAAATAAATTTTTATTTAGGCCTGCCATCTGCCCAGATCCGAAAGGTGCGGGGTAGTCGAATTTAAGCGGGGAGGAGTGTTATGTTCTATCTCCCCACTTGCCCCGTATAACTTATTTCTTCTCTTTACGTTTTTTTATTTCTACTTGCTTCTTTTGTTTTCCCATCTTCCTTTTTTTTTGTTATGAAATTGATTTTATACCTTATTTTTATATTTGAAACTGGTTCTAACCAGTTTCAAGAATGATTGTATCGCGATTAAATAACAACCTTTTTTTTCTCTTTGTTTTAAAAATTATAAAGGTTGGAAAAATACCTTTTTCTGGATATATATTTATTTTTTTTTGTAAAATTTATGAAAATTTATTGTGCGTAGTTCTTTTTTTAATTATTTTGTAAATTGTAACATTTTAACAATAAAGTTAAATTACTAAAATTACTCTGGATGATGACAAAGTTAAAAACCGGTCCCAACGTCAACCTACCAGAAAATCCCGGTCCCACGAATTCTGCCGATCCCTCACCTTATCCCTCGGTAGAACCGCTCGCGGTCGTGGCCCCAAACTCAACACATATTAAAGTACCATTCTGAAAATATGTTCATCCTAATTTAAACTTTAAACAAACCATTTTAAATTTTGATATTTCCAATACATGCTCACAGTATACATTGCAACAATTTTACTCTTAAATTTTAATATTTATATAAAATTTATTAATAAAGTATATTTAATACCATACACACAAACATTACCCTTCAACATCTAAATAATTAATATTTTAAATTATATTATATTCAAGTTGGTGCATACGTGAAACTTTAATATATATATAAATAATATTTTAAATTTATTTATATTAAGTTGGTGCATGCGGTAAAGCATATACCTTTGAAACGGGAGGCTCGAGTTCGAATCCCGGGGATGGCAAAAAAAAATTTAAAAAAAATTAACATTACACTATATAGTCTCCTTAAATTTTAAATATATTACGGAGATACTAAAACGATCATCATGTGATTATGGCGATTATATATATTAGATATTATATAAATTTTCGCTAAAATTAATATTATATGAATTTATAATTATATTAATTTTTATTGCTATAAGTTTATGATTTTACTTTATTTAATTTTGTTACTTGATGGAATAAATGATGATTTCTCTAAAAAAAATTTTATATTAGGGCATTAAAATTTTATTTAAAAAAAGAAATTTATGAGTTTCTTGAAGCTATTCACTCGGTAAATTTACACTTATAACTAAACCAAAATGAACTTATATACGCCATTTGTATTCATTTAAACTGTTTGATAACCTAGCACCAAACTTTCTCCGGAATAGCCTTCATTGCAACTCTTATAAATGGCGTATTGTAAGATATACACTTGATCATCCTAAGAGCATTGAGATCAATTCAAATTCTGTCTTTTCATATCTGATGGGAAACGTCCTGATGGATTTTCCAAAATTCATTGGTTAATGACCGATGGGATTACTCTTGAATTGATCCATTGGCCCTCTCCAATCTAACTCCAAACATCCTAAGGAAAAAGGAGCAGTTGGAAATTGCGAAATATTCTGAACTTTCGCAAGGCACATATTTATCCTCATCATTTCCACCACCTAAACAATTTCTGAGAATCTTTATCCTTTTTAAAGAACTTGCTTCTCACATTCGTATACTCACCAATGAACCCCGTGAAGTCTTCTTCTTGAGGCAAAAACTAGCAATTGTTATTTACAAAGATCATTACATCTGCTTCATGGGAAGCCTCATCCTAAAATATGATTATTTTTAATACTTAACATATGTTTTTTAAAATTATATACGTGAACTATATATTTATTTATGCTAATATGAATTATATGTAATTGTTAAATAGTATAATCTCGATTATATATTTTTTTTAAATATAATACTTTAACTATATGTTTCTTCCATAATAATTATTTATTTATCATTAAAATTTATCTTGTCATTTAAAGAGGAAGGCTCTAGGATTGATTGATAGGGATTTAATAAAAATTAAAGGTAAAATGATAATATAAATATATAGTAATATACTATAAAAATGAAATTTATTATAACAATTGAATAATTTTTATTATTAATTAAATCAAATAAAATATTTTAAATTTTAGATGACATAAATAAAATCTTTCATTTAAAGATGGATATAATTGAAAGTTTTTCAGGTGGTCTGCTTCAAATTAAATTCATGGATTACCTTTTAAAATGCTTGAATATGATGAATACAAAATGATTTCTGGATTAATGTACAAATCTTCAAATATACCATGAGAATTTTTTTTATCTATGACATAAGTTTGTAACGGCCGTTAAAAATCCTCAAATGCCCCATCCATTATTTAAATGTTTTTCGACCGAATTACTAACTTCACTACCCGGAACGTTAAAATAACAATAATTTTATAAACCAATCATGTTTTGATATCTGTATTTGTAAGAACATATTATAAATACCTTTCTAATTTTTGTGAATTTACTATTTTATTTATAGATTTAATTTTAATTAAGCATACTGTATATTCTTTCAAATAGTATTAAAATCAAAATATTAGCTTCAAATTCAAAAATATTATGTCCAAATTTTATTGTCCGTGCCGGCCCTTTAAAATTTTACAAAATGTCCAGCCCGGCCTATAATTTGCTATAAAATTTTATAAAATATTTATTAATTTGTTAATGAAACTACTAAAAAATTAGATTGCAGGGAATAATTTTTTTATAAATTTATTTTTATTAGACATTTCTTAAAAAAACGGCGGGTTAAATTTTTTGCCTGGCCCGTTTTTTTTTAAAATTTTATTAAGATGAATAGCAAACTAGTGTGGTTAACAGTTAGTACTTTTTTTATAAATTAATTTTAATTTTTCCATTTTTTATTTATTATGACTCACATAAAAAAATATATTATCATGAATTCTTTTTTAACAAAATTATAAATAAAAGTTAAAAAAATAATTTTGATTCATTTTGAATATGAACTATTTATATTCAAAATTCTTTTAATATCAATGAGATTTGTTTGATGAAAAAATTAACAAAAATGAATATTATTCATTCATTCTTCATTCAATAACGAATAATTTTCGAACTCTGCTAAATAGAAATTCCGTTTCGTATAATGCTGCAATCAATCACAATCGGCGAGATGTCACTAGTGTTGCGTAATCGGCTAATTTTAGTCGACTAAAAACGGCTTAGCCGAGATTTTAGGTGGAAAAATCGGCTAAGCCTAATTAGGTATAGCCTAAAAATCGGCTAAGCCTAATTAGGCTAAGCCTAAAAATCGGCTAAACCTAATTAGGCTAAGCCTAAAAATCAACTAAGCCTAAAAATTGGCTAAGCCTAAAAATCGGCTAAGCCTAAAAATTGGCTAAAATAAATTAGTCAAAATTCTGCATCGATGCTTAGCATTAATTATTATTTATTTATTTTAGTAAAATAATTTATTTTATTTATATTTAATGTAAATATTTTATTATTATCAACAAATAAACATGATATGATTTAATATTTTTTATTTATATTATTATATTTTGAAATGAAAATAAATTTATTTATTTGATGTTTTTTTAATAAAAAAAATAATAAGCTGCTATATTGTAAAAATGTAATATTCTTTTATATAATTTATTAGTGATTTTCACAATCTTCTTTGTAAATACATCTTTTATTGAGGAATTATATTGTAAATTTTATTAGATAAATAAACAATCTTTTAGGTGAAATCTTTTATTATTTTTTTAAAATTATCTATTTATTATTAAATAAGGTGGATTTTATGAAACTTTTTTGATGTTATTTTATATGATCTTTTTAAGGATAATATTTTAATGTGACAATTGTCATAATCGTTCTTTTATAAGTTTTTTGAAGGAAGTATGTTAAAATAAGTATTAATAACATGTGTAAATACATATTTAGTGAAGATGTACCAATGAAAAGTGACAATTGTCATAATCGTTATTTTTAAAGTTTTTCGAATTTTTTTGACGAAAATATGTTAAAATAAGAATTAATAACATGTGTAAATATAAATTTAGTGAAGATGTACCAATGAAAAGTGACAATTGTCATAATGGTTAATTTTAAAGTTTTTTGAATTTTTTTGACGAAAATATGTTAAAATAAGTATTAATAACATGTGTAAATATAAATTTAGTGAAGATGTACCAATGAAAAGTGACAATTGTCATATCGCTATTTTTAAAGTTTTTTTAATTTTTTTGACGAAAATATGTTAAAATAAGTATTAATAACATGTGTAAATATAAATTTAGTGAAGATGTACCATAGAAAAGATACAATTGTCATAATCGTTATTTTTAAAGTTTTTTGAATTTTTTTGACGAAAATATGTTAAAATAAGTATTAATAACATGTGTAAATATAAATTTAGTGAAGATGTACCAATGAAAAGTGACAATTGTCATAATCGCTATTTTTAAAGTTTTTTGAATTTTTTTGACGAAAATATGTTAAAATAAGTATTAATAACATGTGTAAATATAAATTTAGAGAAGATGCACCATAGAAAAGTGACAATATAATCGTTATTTTTAAAGTTTTTTGATTTTTTTTGACGAAAATAGTTAACTTGCATCGATATTGATTTTAAAATAGAAAAAAAAGTTTACCCAAATTTTAAACAAGATTGTCTGGTGAAAATTGGTAAAAAAATAATAATTTCTAACTTAGGATTAGATATTATGATATAAATTTTGCATATTAATTTCTGACCCGATGAACAAATGTAATAAAATGCCAATTTGCTCCTGTTTTTGGGGAAGAATCTATTATTACCATATGTTTTTCTATGGCATATACTCAGGCAATTTTAATTTTACAATCTATATTTTTACCCATTTACATCAAAGAAATTTTAAAAATAACGATTATGACAATTGTCACTTTTCTATAGTACATCTTCACTAAATTTTTATTTAAACATGTTATTATTACTCATTTTAATATATTTTCGTCAACAAAAATCAAAAAACTTGAAAAATAATGATTATGACAATTGTCGCTTATCTAGAGTACATCTTCATTAAATTTTTATTTAAACATGTTATATATACATATTTTAAAATATTTTCGTCAAAAAAATTCAAAAAACTTTAAGAATAACGATTATGACAATTGTCACTTTTCATTGGTACATCTTCACTAAATTTATATTTACACATGTTATTAACACTTATTTTAACATATTTTCGTCAAAAAAATTTAAAAAATAACGAATATGACAATTGTCACTTTTCATTGTCTTCACTAAATTTATATTTACACATGTTATTAATACTTATTTTAACATATTTTCGTCAAAAACTTTAAAAATAACCATTATGACAATGTCAATTTTCTATGGTACATCTTCACTAAATTTTATTTAAACATGTTATCAATACTTATTTTAACATATTTTCTTCAAAAAAATTCAAAAAACTTATAAAATAACGATTATGACAATTGTCACTTTTCTATGGTACATCTTCACTAAATTTTTATTTAAACATGTTTTTAATACTTATTTTAACATATTTTCTTCAAAAAAATTCCAAAAACTTATAAAATAACGATTATGATAATTGTCACTTTTCTATGGTACATCTTCACTAAGTTTTTATTTAAACATGTTTTTACTACTTATTTTAACATATTTTCTTCAAAAAAATTCAAAAAACTTTAAAAATAACGATTATGACAAATGTCACTTTTCATTGGTACATCTTCACTAAATTTATATTTACACATGTTATTAATACTTATTTTAACCTATTTTCTTCAAAAAAATTCAAAAAACTTATAAAATAACGATTATGACAATTGTCACTTTTCATTGGTACATCTTCACTAAATTTATAATTACACATGTTATTAATACTTATTTTAACCTATTTTCTTCAAAAAAATTCAAAAAACGTATAAAATAACGATTATGACAATTGTCACTTTTCTATGGTACATCTTCACTAAATTTTTATTTAAACATGTTTTTAATACTTATTTTAACATATTTTCTTCAAAAAAATTCAAAAAACTTTAAAAATAACGATTATGACAATTGTCAATTTTCTATGGTACATCTTCACTAAATTTTTATTTAAACATGTTATTAATACTTATTTTAACATATTGTCGTCAAAAAAATTCAAAAAACTTTAAAAATAACGATTATGACAATTGTCACTTTTCTTTGGTACATCTTCACTAAATTTATATTTACACATGTTATTAATACTTATTTTAACCTATTTTCTTCAAAAAAATTCAAAAAACTTATAAAATAACGATTATGACAATTGTCAAATTAAAATATTATCCTTAAAAAGATCATATAAAATCATCAAAAAAGTTTCATAAAATCCACCTCATTTAATAAAAAAGATACTTTAAAAAAAATGATAAAAAAATTATAAAAGATTTCACCTAAAAGATTGTTTATTTATCTAATAAAATTTACAATATAATTCCTCAATAAAAGATGTATTTATTAAGAAGATTGTGAAAATCACTAATAAATTATATTAAAAAGAATATTACAATTTTACAATATAGCAGCATATTATTTTTTTTATTAAAATAACATCAAATAAATAAATTTATTTTCATTTGAAAATATAATAATATAAATTAAAAATATTAAATCATATCATGTTTATTTGTTGATAATAATAAAATATTTACATTAAATATAAATAAAATAAATTATTTTACTAAAATAAATAAATAATAATTAATACTAAGCATCGATGCAGAATTTTGACTATTTTTTAGCAGATTTATATAGGCTTAGCCGATTTTTAGGCTTAACCTAATTAGGCTTAGCCGATTTTTAGTTTTAGCCGATTTTTAGGTTTACCTAATTAGGCTTAGCCGATTTTTAGGCTTAGGCGTAGTTTTTAGCCGATTACGCAACACTAGATGTCACACAATTAAACAGCTGATTAAGATTATAAAATTAGCTAGAAAACCGGCCGTAAAAAACATGATTTTAAAAAATATAATCGCGGGCTAGGCTAAAAAATAAACAAAGTTTAAAAATCGGAATTGACATAAAAATAGAAAACATGGGATTGGCCAAATTTATTTTTTAAATTCCGGACGAGCATGAAAATGGGAAGCCAAGCGGCCTACCTTTATAGCTGTTTGATTAATATATCAATAATTTTTAAATTATCATCATGATTAGAATTAAAGATAAACATTGATCACATAAATAAATATTTTTATAAACTCGATGAGCTGTTGGTGCTATATTTTACATAACGTTCACTATAAATGCAGTCCAAATGCCACAAGCTAGTGATACCGCTGATTAATTTGGTACAACATGGGGAAAAAAATGTAAAAAGAGAATAACAGATTTTTTTCTTTAAAATATAGTATATATAAATTAATTTATTCGTTCACAGACCTGAGATCTTTTATGGATATATTCTTCCCGTGTAATTTGATGGTTTGAAGTAAAGTTATACACCAATACTTCTTGTAAGATGCGACGCCAAGATCCGATAGAGGTTTTTCTGGACGACCAACGATACCTTCCAATTTTGAAAGTTCGTAACCTTGATTAGTTTGGCAATATAAAAAGAATGAGAATATAATTGGCTCATTTTTTTTTAAATATTAATTTGCGTTTCCTAAATGATGAAATTAACAAAAATATATATAACAATTAATATTTGATAGAATAGTTATAGGTATTTTTTTATACCTATCAAAATGATGTTTTTTTAAAAAAAATCATAAGATAAATGAAAAAAAAACGAATTTTAGATTTTAAAATATATTTTACACAATAAAATCGGTCAATTTTTCATTTTTTAATATATATGAATCTTAAATAAATTAGAGTTTTATTATAAAAAATTTATTACATCTTGATTACACAAAATAAATTCAAAAATTTCTTAATTAATGTATCCAAATTTTAATAATTTAGGAAAACGATAATTTACTTAATGATATTAGAAAATTGCCCAGTCCACATTTTTGAAAAGGCGGCAAGACTAACAAGCAAGCTAAATTATTTCCGTCAATAGAAGCTTTCTCCTAATATATTTTATAAAAAATTTTTACCTTTAGCCAAAATTAAATTTTAATTTAAAAATTTAATTTTTTCTTCATTCTCCTAAAATTTTTAATCCTCCCTTTCATTTTTATAAATTTACTTAAATAATTTTTTGATATTCATATTAGGCCATTTCCAGACAAAACGTTTTCAACATTATTTTTTTATAAACGTGTAATGACATAGAAGAGTTTCCCAACCAATATGTTAAACGTTCTGTCTGGAAATGGCCTCAGACAAATTTATAAATATCAGCTCATGATATCTAAAAAAATGAACGAATGCGACAACTCGAATTATAATATATATAAGTATTTTTTGAAAAAAAACCTTTGAAAAATATCCCAATAGATGGGCGCCTTCTTTGTTAACGAATGTTAGCACGTAAAAGTAAAAAGGTTCCACGTCAAAATAAACTGCCTTGTGGTCGAGAAACAACTTGGACATCAGACAAAGATTTTGACAATACAACTAAATAAGAAGGAAATATTCACGAAATATATTTGCTAGGAATGGATGATAAAAAAAAGAATTATTATTGTTGGAAATAATGAATTTTTTAAACCAATCATTTTTGTTTTATTTAAAACCTCGCATTAAACTTTTTTTTAAACCCTAACCCATAAAAAAAACTTTTTATTTTATTTGTCCGACGGATCTAATCCCGTTCAGAAATTTTATTTAAGAAAAATATCTTTAAATTTTTTTGGACTGTTTTAAAAAAATTAGGATATTGATAGCGTAAAAATTATAAGCGGCAAAGGATAATAGAAAGATGTTGTGGTGTTATTCTTATAGAATATTTGAAATAAAATATTAGGGGTCAAAAATAAGAAGATTCGAGAAAGAACTAAAATTATAAAATCAAGACCCGGTCCAGTCCGAGTCAAGTTCGACCAACCCGAGTTAGGCTAATCCTTGCAAGGTTCTATATTATAAACTTTTTCTTTTTTTCTTCCTTCCTTCTATATTTTGGCATAAATTTTACATTTTCCACATATCAATAATTATGTGAACTAAAAACTCTCATTAAAATATTATGTAGACTAGATCTTCGAGCAAATATAGAAGCTATTGCAGGATTCACTGTGGATTTCAATGATAGACCAGCATATCTCATAGGCAGCTGAAGATGTTTGAATATTGTGCCCCCTTCGCCACCCCAACCCATATAAAATTGTAACACTACATTACAACTTATAAGAAAGATTGAGTTTCGTGCTGTATGAAAAAGACCTTCATATTTAAGAATATGTGATGAACGAAATGTATATAATATTTCGAGAATGTTGGATAAAAATGTGAAAAGAAAAAAACGCTTGATGGGCAGGCAGGATTATCGAGGAAGGGTTTTAAGTTATTATTTGACTAGGAAATTTTTTAGAAATTTCTGACTTGTTTACAACCCTCAATTGGGCAAATTAAGGTGAGTTAACTAATTTATTAGTGTAATAGTAAATATATTATTGGAATGTATGTTACCCTGAGTAGATTTTACATTTGGAATGATTTCGGGATCAGGCCCGTTTTGAACAAACCAAGGTGTCACCTTTCTGAATCCCGTCCTCTGATAGAATTAGATAATTATTAAATTGAAGTAGGATGGTGCACCCTAAATATTAAGATTATAATTGCTGTATTGGGGAAAAGGTTGGCAAAATTGTGGCATGAAAAGATTATGCTAGGTGGTATTGAATGTATTGTTAAAGTCAATTTTTAAAAAGAAAACGTGTTTAAACAGAGCTAGTGATAAATCCCGTCACCATTTGATAAATAATAATCAATTTTTCAAGACATGCTGAACAACGACCAAATTTTATTAAAACGCAATAAGAAAATATTAAAAGGCGGAATTAGCGGTAGTCTCTCATATTTTTATATATCATACTTCGCAACATAGAACCCCCTAGGTTTCACAAAATAAATCTCCCAGATCTATGCGATTGGTGAGCTCATCGCCGACTAGGCCACAGACGATACATGGTTGAAATCACCATTATTTTTTAATATATAATTATAAATAAACGGCGGGATGAAAAAAATATAAAAATAAATCCGGCTTGAAGGGATTTATTACTACTCTGAAATCAGCGTTAAAGATTGATTTTCAGGCTGCATAAGCGGAAACTCCTCTTTTCATACAAAAACCGAATTGGTGGGAGTTAACAAAGGTACCAAGCTTTTAAATTTGGAGATAACTCTCTCAAAGGTACTATCTATTAATATTGGCTGATACCTCTCTGTCTTTCCTTTTAAAAGAAATTAATCATGCCCCAAAAGATGAAAGAAAGATGGGTTTAGGCATGGCTTCCTCGAGGATAAGATTAAGAAATTTTGCAATATTATTAACGAGGGAATGGCTCTGGGGTGAATGTGAATCACTGACATAAATGTCCTAGACAAAATTTGGGGTATTTTTGCCCGATGTCTTTTTGCCTAGGGCATATGCCGATGATTCTTCTAGGATAATATCCTGTAAATATATTATATAGCTTTGATGCTATAAAAATATGCAGGGTACAAACAGTTTATAGTATATATTTATTGTGTATAGACTTACTTTACACAATCCTGAATTTTTTTAATAACAAAACAATTTTTGGATCTAATTTTGTGTATATGAAAAAATTTTATTTACCAAATCTTTAATATTTTTCATTACACCCCTTTCTCATTTACTCATATTTTTAAAAACAAATCATATTTTACCGTATCTATCTTTCCATCAACTTCATAAACAGAAATGTGTCCTTTGCGATAAATTTCTATGCCTGGTGGCTGTCTATGTGGGCATTCATTCTTTTTTAAAAAAAGAAGTAAATAATAAATAGTATTTTTGACATGTTTCATTATAATGACAAGAGGTTTACCATAATCCTTAAATCAAACAAACTTAAATTCAAACATGGGCACTTGACAAGCTATGGACGAAAACTATTTAAATTTTTGGAGAGAGTGAAGGCTAAGGTTGGAGAAATTGTAATGGGTCACAACTTTTGAAATCCGCAGACCAACCCCAAAGAAAAAGATTACTACAAGGTAAAATCCAAAAATATATTCAAGTAAGAATGAAAACTACTTGGACTTCATTATAGTGGCGGTAACTAAGCTAAATAAATGGCTTTCAACTAACCCCTAACAAAACAAAAGAGGATATTTCTTTCTATCAACAATATACATTCTGTTTAACTATAACAATATAAGCCGATGAAGCAAATTTATATGCAGTAGAACAAAAATATTATGATAACAAAAATATGATAATTAATAGAGATCTGCAAAGTTAGGCCCGGCCCTTACTCGGCCCGAACGGGCTTTGGGCCAGGCTCGAGCCTAATTCTATTTAAAATATTTTTAAAAAAATTCGGGCCGGGTCGAGTCAGACCTTGGAATTTTTTTTAAATATATCTAAATTTATCAATTTTATATTGAATTTTTATGTTTGATTTTATTTATTGAAACTAAACGCCATATAACATGTCTTTTATTTTGAGTAATTATAAAAATTAATTTCTATATTTAAATAAATTCGGGCAAGGCCGGCAAATCTTTTTAAAAAAATTTGAGTTCAGGCCAAGCTGGCAAAGCTTTTTTAGAAAAATTTCAGGTCAGGCTTGAAAAATTAGGCCCGATGCAGATCACTAATATATAACATATGCTATGAAGCAAATTATTAATAGAGGAGCAAAAATTAATCTACAAAATGTGATATTTACAATATATGCCGAAAGTTATATAAGATAATGTAACAATATTAATAAACTATTGTGCTAGTTAAAACCAACTGTTCCACCTCAGGTTCATGTTAATTCTAAACATTGTAACACCATTTTTATGAAGGGGGAAGTTATGGGCAGATAAATAAATTTTAAACTAACACTAAATGATGATAATATCAACAAGCACAAATTAATATTCAATACAATAAAGATTTCGATAATACAATAACAATTAACTCCTCAATCAATTCAAAAATTAATACAATATTGATTGAATCTTGATAATCAAATGATCATAACAATTAGTTAACAACACAATAAAAAATGGCTCTGGATTTTTAAAGGATGGAATGTTGGAGTAGTCAAATATATCTAATTCTTAATTTATCATATTTTATTAAATATCATCTAATGACCTTTTTGCAATTTATATTTCTACATTACTTATTTCATTTTATATTATAACATTCAAATTCAATTCAACTATAATTTGCCTTATATAAACTTATAATTTTATATAGAAGTATCACAGTGTAAATTATTTTAGATAATAAAATCATTTGTTTAATTCTAGCTTGCCATCTTGTATTTCTATCAGATATTAAATATAACAATTCTAGATCTATATCTTTAACCTAGTTAGATATGGGCATTGAAGTAAGGATTACATATTTTATCTTAATTCAATATTTTAAGAAAACTTGTGAACATTTCTGCTCATGAGTAATGTTGTCTTGATTAATATTTAAACAAAAATTGAGCAAAAAATTAATATAAATTTTGGTGGGTGCTAAAATGTGATGGAGATAAATTATCTTTTATTTTAAAAATTAATATTAAAAAAATTCCAGTCTATTTGTATGTAAAATTAAAAAAAATTTTTTTTGAAAGGAACAATGGATCCTTGACAAACAAAATAATCTCAATTACTAACTTCATTTTTTAAAAATTAATATTAAAAAATTCCAGTCTATTTGTATGTAAAATTAAAAAAATTTTTTTGAAAGGAACAATGGATCCTTGACAAACAAAATAATCTCAATTACTAACTTCATTTTTTTAAAAAGGATAATCAATACAGGCAAATTGACAAATTAAGATTGAACCTAGTATTGTTGATCCTTTAACAAATCTAATCAGTGTTGGTAATAAAAAATGGTATCAGTGTGTCTGATAATAATTGCTAGTGTCTAATAGTTTTAGTCGAACAATTCGACTAAAACTTTAGCGACTAAATTAGTTGATTAGTCGACTAATTTGGTCGACTAAAACGACTAATTAGTCGACTAAAAACGACTAATTAGTCGACTAAAAACGACTAATTAGTCGACTAAAAACGACTAATCGACTAATTAGTCGACTAAAACGACTAATCAGAGAAGATAAACAAAAAGAAGTAAAGTGAGAATTTGTCATTAAAATAACTCTATGAGTTATATATAAGTTATTTTTAATATATTTTTTTTTGAATTTCTTTTTCTTTGAAGGAACAGGTTAAAATTTTAAATTGTTATTTTTGAACTTTTTAAAAATTATTTTAAAGCAAGGTATAAATATATATTGTAAACATGTTAATTAAAATTTCAGTGAAGATGTACCATAGAAAAGTGACAATTGTCATAATCGTCATTTATAGGTTTTTTTGAAATTTTTTGAAGCAAATGGGTAAAAATATATATTAAACATGTTAAAATAAAATTTAAGCGAAGATGTACCATAGAAAAGTGACAATTGTCATAATTGTCATTTATAGGTTTTTTTGAAATTTTTTTAAGCAAATAGGTAAAAATATATACTGTAAACATGTTAAAATAAAATTTAAGTGAAGATGTACCATAGAAAAGTGACAATTGTCATAATCGTCATTTTTTAGTTTTGTTGAAATTTTTTGAAGCAAATGGATAATATATATTGTAAACATGTTATATTTAAATTTCGTCAAGATGTACCATAGAAAAGTGATAATTGTCATAATCGTCATTTTTAAGTTTTTTTGGAATTTTTTGAAGCATATGGGTAAAAATATATATTGTAAACATGTTATATTAAAATTTCAGTGAAGATGTACCATAGAAAAGTGACAATTGTCATAATCGTCATTTATATGTTTTTTTGAAATTTTTTGAAGCAAATGGGTAAAAATATATATTGTAAACATGTTATATTAAAATTTCAGTGAAGATATACCATAGATAAGTGACAATTCTCATAATCGTCATTTTTAGGTTTTTTTGAAATTTTTTGAAGCAAATGGGTAAAAATATATATTGTAAACATGTTATATTAAAATTTCAGTGAAGATATACCATAGAAAAGTGACAATTCTCATAATCATTATTTTTTTTAACTTTTTTGAAGTTACAGAGTAAAATAAATTGTAAACATGTTAATTTAAAATTTAAATAGTATATACTACCAATGTGCAAAATTTAAAAAAAATGAAGAGGGTAGGGTTGAAAATTGACTTTTTTGTCGATTTGATATGGAATTCACCATATATTTTTACCCCTTTGCTTCAAAAAATTTCAAAAAAACTTAAAAATGACGATTATGACAATTGTCACTTTTCTATGGTACATCTTCACTGAAATTTTGATTCAACATGTTTCCAATATATATTTATACCTTGCTTTAAAATAATTTAAAAAAAGTTCAAAAATAACAATTTATAATTTTAACCTGTTCCTTCAAAGAAAAATAAATTCAAAAAATAACTTATATATAACTCATATAGTTATTTTAATGACAAATTCTCACTTTACTTCTTTTTGTTTATTTTCTCTGATTAGTCGACTAAATTAGTCGTTTTAGTCGACTAAATAAGTCGTTTTTATTTGACTAAATTAGTCGTTTTAGACGTCTAAATTAGTCTTTTTTAGTCAACTAATTAGTCGTTTTAGTTGACTAAATTAGTCAACCATCGACTAATTTAGTCGCTAAAGTTTTTAGTCGATTTCCTCGACTACGACTATTAGTCGGAAGAAATCAACTATTTAACAACACTAATAATTGCAATCAATAATTAATGAATTTATCTAAGTAATAGCACTATACCTTTATGTTATTTAATTATTAAATAATGATTTTAAATACAAAACATAAGTCTATGAAAAATAAAGCTGGTATAAATTTTTTAAAATATAATTACTTTATGTTTTATAAAATTAGCTTGGTATTTCATATATCGCAAGCAATACTGACATATCCATAATTTATCCCAAGTCAAATTATTAAAAGTATTTTGTGTTTGAGGGGAAGTATCCTCTGGATATTTTGACATATACCAGCATTCAATTTCATATTGACCAAATTGAATATATGATATAGATTTAATTTGAGGCTTGATAATAATATCATAAAACTTAATTATTATAATAGTATACCTTGATCAATTTAAATTTTTTAGACTCCAATGAATTTTGTTCAAAAGGTTCTATAACCTATATAAATTTTTTAAAAAATGTTTTAAATTAAATTATAAATAATATATTTGACAGATGTTGAGTTTAATATTTTATTAATTACTTGAATATCTTCAACACATTTCTTACGTTTTTGAAGCCTAGTTAATCTTTCATCTGTATAGTTTTTAACTCCATCTAAAACATTATGACTTTCATCAAATGATAATTGACTGCCAGAATCAAGATCTATTTGATTTGCTTTAACCCAATTATCTAGTCGATGATCACCTAAAATTACTTGTAGAAATATAAAATAATATTATAACTTACAGTTTTTATAATGCATATAGTATTCGTTTATAGGTGTGCCATTCAAATCGACAGTACTTCTGATATCTATCACAGAGGCTGGAACTATTTTTTAATGTACTTTTATATAGTTTTATATATAAATAACTTTTAATATCGTTAGGTCCATTCACAAGATAAACCTTTCCAATATTCACTGACATGAATTTTAAAAATGATTCACATATGATCAGGAGAATATTTGAATATATCACAAAAATGTTAACGTACAAATGTCACTTATCACGATGTAGCAAATAATTATTTTATTATATAATTCAGTATATATAGAACGTAACTATAATATTATTCTTTTAGAATATTCATTAAAAATATTTATTTACATTCTTTAGTGATACTTTAATTGCATCTTGAAAGTGTACTAATATTTCATAACATAATTTATGTTTTGCTATCAAAATTTAAGTTCTGTATAATGATAAATACGCTCTCTCAAAAATTACGTGCTCCTAGTTCTTTATTAAAAGAGCGTTTAATAATATTAATATAGAATCGTCTTTAGTTTATGAAATGATTTATAAATTATTTTTTAATTTAAAAACTGGTTACATAGTAAAATTTTAAAAAATTACTTTTCTAACATGACCAAAATATGTTCTCTTACGCACTTTCAGTAAATATGCGTATAAAAATAAACGTAGAATTATATTTAGCGTAAAGGATTTAGAAAATGTTAATAATAATTATTTAAATTTTTATAACCAATGGGCTTCATTATTAATATAATCTAAATCACTATAAAAAAATTATTATTTTGAAAATCAAAGTTGGTAAATTTTAAATAATAGTAATAATTAATAATTTTAAAAATTTAGTTTATTAACATATCTTTAACTTCAAAATATAGTTTAATATTTTACATATATTCGAAAAATCAATATAAAAAAATTGTAATCACTAAATTTCATTCTTAGATTCTATATAACATTCTATAATAATCGGATATACTTTTGTAAAAATAAAAACATTAAAAAATACTCCATTAATTAAATTCTTACATTGCTTAGTTAAGAACAAAGTTTAAGAATTAATTCTAAGACCGGAAGAAAGAGAAAGAACCTGTTTTACATTGTACTATCTATTTTTGAATTTGCTGGAGATATTTTAGCATATAATGATTGCTGATATTTTATTAGTGTAGCTTTGTTAAAACATAATTTATTTATATTAAAATGCTAAACTATGTTTTTTAGAATTTAAAGAATAATAGTAATTAGTAATGTTTCACAAAGTAACTCATAAAAAAACTATAATTTATATATCCGGATGTCTAGAATAAAAGTAGTGTTTTAAAATCTTTATAAATATAACGTTTTTATTAAATGGTTAATAATATTACCAAGCATATTGCAATTTTCTCCTAATTTGCCAAAACCTATTTTTTAAATATACTAGGGCTGCGTCATGGCCCGGTCTTTGGCCGGGTGGAATATAGCCTGGGAATCATAAATGGAGCGGAATCAGAAATTCCCGTGAATCATAATTAGCGGTAAGTAGAGCTATAAACGTTACTACAAAAAAGAAACGCTTTACCGTTACTCGTTACATCTGAAAAAAGGAACGCGTTACCGTTACTAGTTACCTTTTCAAAAAAAAACCATACAAAAGAATATATAAGATCGTTTTATAAAAAAAAATATTAATATATTTAATTATAATATAAATAATACAAAAATAATACATTATAAGATAACATTTTTATGTAACAATTTTTTATTTATTTTTAGAAACAATTAATTTCAAAATTTTGATCAGACAAACAAGAGAGCTTAGTGCTCAACACAGCTGGTTAAATAATGGGATGTTATATATAGTATTTTATTTTAATAATATATAAAATTTATAATGAAATTCTCTGTAAAATTTTGTTATTGGATAAATCCTGGCTACGCCACTATTTCATATATATATATATCAGGAGACCTGCAGGCCCGGCCCGGCCCGCGCCGGGCCGTATTTAAAATATTTTAAATATACCCGGGCCGGGCCTAAAAAATTTTTTTTAAGATATATCCGGGCCGGGCCTTAATATTTTTTATAAAAATTTTTACATTATGAGTTAATGGTTATAAGATTATATTATATTATAGTTATGATTAGTATAATATTGGGTGATGGTTAACACTACCTAACACCCACAGATCAATCTAATTATTAATTTCCTGCAAATTTATTCAAAGTATTAATATATTTTTTTATAATTCATATCTAAATTTTTACAACATATTTTACCAAAACATTTAAATAAAGGAATATCTTAAATTAGCCCCAATATTCAAGTATTATTAATATATTTTTTTTATAATTCATATCTAAATTTTTAGAATATATTTTACCAAAACAATCAAATAAAGGAATATCACTTCTTGAAGTTTGTAATACCTTTCAAAGCGAAAAAGGAGAAATAAAATTGATTTTACTTAATATAAAGCATTTTTTAATTGAAAAATTTGTTTTACACAAGTATCATTTTATTTCTCTTTTTCTCTGTCCCAATTTCAATCAATTACGTATGTAGTCAGGGACAGATCGCAAGATGACGGAAAACTATATAAAAGATTATATTAAATTACAAGAGGCTCAGGAAGTAAATGAAATACCATCGACCAGTCAAATTACGACTGTTGTTAAACAAACTGAATCGTTTTATGACAAATGGGGCTATGGTAATTCTGGTAATATGTCAATACCCGATGATGAATATTATAATTACATAAATAAAAAAATAGATGAAACATTTAAGGTGGATAATTTGTTAGAGTGGGGGGCGGCTCATCAAAGCTAATTTCCAATTTTAGCAAAATTGGCAATTCCTGCTTCAAGTGCAAGCTGTGAGCGGAATTTTTCCACTACTGGGAGAATTCTTGAAGAAAGAAGAAGTAATCTTCAACCTGAAAAGGTAGATATGCTTCTCTTTCTTCATGATAATTTGTGAATTTTTAATATCTTTCTTGAGTATAGTTATTCGTCAATCATACTGGTTTTTTACTTTGCAAACTGTCAAATATTTATTGCATTTATTATATTTACCTTGAGTCATGAAAGTTTTTAATCCAACATTTTTCATTTTTTTTTTTACAATATTATATAATACAATTATCTTCTTTTGTTAAAAATTTATATTATAAAATAAATTATATTAATATTGTGCAATTAGATTATATTTTCAAAATACTATTTATTATACACCCATTTTTTTAAATAGCGATTTATTTTTATTTTATAAATTAAATAGTAAATTAAATACAATATATTATATTCTCAAAATATTTTCCATTTTTTAAATTAAATATTAGTTTTATTTTTTTTAAATGCAATATAAAATATAGTATATGCTCAAAATATTATTACCATTTTTATGAATATTAGTTTTATTTTTATAAATGCAATATAATGCTCAAAATATCCATTTTTATAAATAAAAGTTTTATAATTTTTATAAATTCAATATAATATTCTCAAAATATTAGCTTTTTACATGTATTTTTTAAATAATAAGCGATAATACTCGCTGAAAAATATGGTAAAATAGGTGAATTTTTGTATATACCAGGTCGAATATAATTTTAAAAAATTCCAAGCCGGGCCTGAAATTTTTTTTTAAAAATATCTGGGCCGAGCCGGGCCTTAAATTTTTAAATCCGGGCCGGGCCTAAAAAATTTAAAACCGGGCCTGGCCGGGCCGTGCAAATGGTACCTCTGCAGGTCTCTGATATATATATTATTTAAACAAAGTTTTTAAAATCACTATTTTTTATTCTTTAAATTTATTAACAATTATAGTCAAACCAATAGCAATACTAAAACAAGAAATAGAAGATATAAAAAACTTAATATAATACTTTGAACCAATACCAATATTTTGTTAATCTTGGGTTTTTAATGTTAGTTCCCAACCTATTACTGTTGTATAATTTAATTGCTTATATTTAAGGCTGTGGTGATCCACCTATTTTTACCGATCCCATCCGATATTGCTCTAGATTTACTGGCAATAAGCTTCTACGACATGGAGTATCTATATCCCCTGTCGTTCTGGAGGTAAACTCAGATGATTCCGCAAACGCATTTTCAAAATTATCTTTGTCTTTTGTAAAATATTTCCATAATTCAGATACCATATTTAAAAAAATTCTTTTATTTAAAGTAAAAATAATAAAATTGGCGCTATTATTTAAAAAGATTTAAAATAATTAAAACTTTGGGTGTTCCTTTCTATTTTTATAAAAAAAACTTTAAAAATACTATAAATCTATTTTAAAAAAGAATAAAATTTAGAGGGTGTTGTGCATTTGCATTGTTTAAAAAAAAGGATTTAGAAAATATTATAATAATGTATAATAAATATACATAACAAAAAATAACAAAAAAAAGAAATTAAAAAGACCCGATCGGGTTTTTACAGGTATGTGACCGATCCGATATTTTTGAAAACGCTAAATATCGGAGCTGATTCGATCCGATATTTAATATCGGCACAGCCCTATTTATATTTTAATTCCATGATTGAGCTTTTCAAAATATTATGAAGAATATTATTTTATTATTAAAGTAAAATTCATCTTTTTACCTGGAAATGCTTTTTTAAGTTTGAACTGCTGGACATTGAGGTTGAAATATTTGTGTGGGATATAATTCAAGTGTAGACTTGGTACCATTAATTTTCTTTATTGGTTTAAAATATATTTCAAATTGGGACCAGAGAAGGGTTAAATCATCTTCATCTGAAGAAGTACTATGGACATAATATTCTTAAAATAATTATAAGAATAATAATATCATTATTAACATTTACTTTGAATTTTGATAAACATTAATTTCGACAGAAAATTTAACGAGAATTTAAAATAAAAATGAAAGAATATGAATTAAAACTCGGATTAAATTATTTATATTAAGAATTAAAAAATAGATAAAAATTATTTTATAATACAATAAAATATGTTTTTCTTTTTATTGATATTTTTTAAGAAAAAAGTATAAAGTGCGTTCCGTTACTCAAAAAAAAGAAACGCGTTACCGTTACTCGTTACCTCTAGAAGAAGGTAACGAATGAAGTTAAAAAAACGTCGTTAGTAACGACGTTACTTTTTTGACGTTATTTCACAGCACTAGTATTTATTATTATTTTACTTATAGATGATATGACGGCACAAATGACGTAGCGAGTGGAAAATTA